GAATCTGAAACTTCTCATGTAATGACCTAAAAACCTTATGTTATTAACCGAATTTAATTTAAAAAATGGTACTACAATATGACTATTGTAATGGATAGAGAGTTCAAATTCATCTCCAGATTCCTTATTGATTCAGGAGCAGATCAAAATTGTATCCGAGAAGAATTAATACCTACAAAATATTTTGAAAAAACAACTGGGCGTCTAAATTTTATCACTGTTTATATTGATGATGTTCTTATTTATTCAAAAAGTATGGAACAACATTTCAAGCATTTAAATACATTCATTCATATAGTAAAAAAATGGATTAGCAATCTCTGCTAAAAAAATTGTTCTTTGTCAAGCACAATTTAGGTTTCTTGGACATACCATCCATTTAGGAACTATTATTCCAATCTAAAGAAGTTTTGATTTCATCAACAACTTCTCCAATAAATCTTACATAAATATAGTCTACAACGATTTTTAGACCGTGTCAATTATGTGTCAGACATTTTTAAAGATATAAGGCTGTTGTGTTCCCCTCTTTTTAAAAGATTACAAAGGCATCCTATACTGTGGAGTCACGAGCATATTGTGGCTGTATGAAAAGTAAAATATGTCATCAAAAGCATTCCATGCCTTTCAATCTTAGACCCTTTAGTCTCAATCTGGAAAACTACTTTTGCTTCAAAAACTCTTTTCCAAAGTACTCTTTCAAGCAAGAAAGCTCTGGCAGAGAAACGTTCGAATTTAAAAAAAAGCTGTTTTAATAGGATCTGATTAAGCTTGTAAGGATATCTTAAAATCTGGTGCTCTAAAGTCATCTGACTTGGGAGTTATCGGCCTAAAGCCTGCTACAGAGGTCATCTAGAAAGCTTAATGGAGAGAAAAAACAACTCTTGAAAATAAAAAAAAGCAAGTGCATGAAAAAAAGCAGAAGCACTGAATACCTTGTTAAGTCCTAACACTTATTTGAGAAAATTTAACTTTCGATTAAAGATAATTAACCTAATTGAGTCTCGACGGTTTAAGCAATCAAATTAATTGAAAATTCTTGTTCATTGATGTATTGACTTGCAACAAGTGATGTCAACCTGAACTAGAGAGGGTAAGGTTAGTAATGAAAAATTCAACCTCAGATCACACGTTGGGAAAATAGTGAAAAATAATAAATTTAGGGGTGTGTGAATCTTATTAGAGATGAAAGAAAAAATTTCATGAGACTAATTAATATCATAAAGCTGTTAGCTCATGAATTCAAGAACAACGAAATACCGGCATCCCAAAACTTTCCAAAAATGATCAAGAAAAATATGCCAATTTTCTTACAGAAAAAATCAAGGCTCCTCGCCATGCTCATTCAATGCAAGACTCCGAAAGAACTGACAATAATATCAGAAAAAATTGCCAATTTAGCCGAAGCCTCTTTAAAGAAATCAAAATCTATTGATGACTCTTCTCAATTAGGTTCAAAGACGGATTATGCTCAAAGCAACGAAGATGATTGTTAGGGCTTAATATCGATGAACTAATTGATCAGGAGACTCAAAAGCACTCAAAATGACTATATTTATTTGAGGAATAGAGAAAGTATCGGGTTCATAATGCAAGAAATGTACTATTTCAAATGTTTTTGCCGTCTCAAAAGTTATTCTTTCTAACGCTACTGACTTTTAAAAATAAATAAACTTTAATAAAGTGACTTTATTAAAGTATATTCCCATTATTCAAAGTCTGGAAGGAAGACACAAAATTTCAAAATCATTGCAGACGGAGAAATGTTTTCACAGGGATAGATATTATTGAAATAATTGTCCTTTAAGATTCCTCAACTCAATTCAAGAAATTTTCAAGTCTGTGTTAGGTTTAATGCCTCAAAATTGGGTTGAAATCTTGGAAGATCAAATTTGGCTTAAATTTGGAAAGAAATCAAATTACATCCAAGATTTTTTCCTTTTACGCGGTTTAACCTAATTCTAGTATATTTTCTTACTTTTTAGGACTCCATTAGGTTTATGGATGAGGCCTATAAATTAGAAACTCCTCTGTCAATTTTAGATGAAGCATATTGCTAAATTTCAATGTTTCTCTGCTTAATTTCTCTTTTTCTACTTTACTTTAATCTTGTTTTCATGGTGCGATCTTGAATATTTCATAATTGTCATTAATATCAATCTTACATCATCTTTGGAATCAACAAGTGGTATCAGAGCACAGGTTGCAGGTTCTTCGTGATTTGGTTGAGATTTTTCAAGGATGAATTCGTTGAAGTATGAAATTTCGCTGCTGGATTGCAATACAAGATTTTCGCTATGGCAAGTAAAGGTGAGGGCTATGTTGATGCAGATGGATTTTGACGATACTTTGCTGGGTTTTGAAAGGATGCCAGCAAATTTGTCTATGGAGGAGAAACAACGGAGGGATTGAAAGGCTCTAGCGTAGACTCATCTTCACTTATTCAACAATATTCTGTAGGATGTCTTGAACAAGAAGACGGCGACCGCTTTGTGGCTCAAGCTGAAGCAATTGTGCATGACAAAAAGTCTAACGAGCAAACTGACTCTAAAACAGAAGCTATATTCCTATTGCATGGCGGAAGGAGGATCACTGCAGGACCATCTTTCTGTGTTCAAGGAGATTGTTGCAGATTTGGAGACGTTGGAGGTAAAATATGATGAAAAAGATCTAGCCTTGATCCTGTTGTATTCGTTATCCAGTTCTTTTTCGTCGTTTCATGATCCTATATTGTATAGTCGTGACACGTTGACCATTGATGAGGTATATGTCGCCCTGTTCTCAAAGGAGAAGATGGGAACTGTTGGTTGGAGATCCTATATCTAGGGGTGGAGATGCTCTGATTACTCATGGTGATCGATGGGGGAGGGTAGATCGAAGGTGAGGTACAACAATGTGCATTGTTATTACTGCAGGAGGAAAGGACACATTAAGAAAGATTACGACAAGTTGCAGGGTAAATGTGATTTACATGCAAATCATACGGGGCAATCAGGTAACGAGACTAATATTGTTGATAATTTTTCGGATGATTGAGATGTAATGTTGGCTATATCTGATGGAGAATCCAAACCTGGGGAGTGGATTATGGATTCTGCATGTTCGTATCATATGTGTCCCAACAAAGCTTTGTTTCAGACATATGAGACGGTGAAATAAGGTGGAATTGTCATGGGAAACAACCAATCTTGTCGGGTTGCAGGAATCGGTTGAGTTAGATTGAGACTACAAGATGAGACAGTGAGGACACTTGATCGGGTTCGTAATGTTCCAGACTTGACAAAGAATCTCATATCGCTGAGTACCCTGGATGCAAAAGGGTATAAATTCTCTGGTGGAGGTGGGGTCTTGAAGGTTCGAAGGGGTGTCCGGGTTGTACTGGAGGGACGGAAGAAGTCTCATTTGTACATCTTGCAGGAGAATGCAGAACTAGTTAAAAAACATTTGGACAAATTCAATACCGTGGTGGGAGTTCAGTTTAGTACAGTACCTCTTGCGGCAAGCTCTGAGCTGGTTAAGAACACTGCTAGAGAGAGCGTTGATAATTTCACTTTATCACCAATTTCAACGAATACATTGTGTTCAGTTGCTAGGCTTGGACTCATGGAGCGTAGCTACGGTGGTGTCAATAATGTTTGGAATGCTTTAGGGGACGTTGAAGGTGACAGTTCTAACAAGGGTCATTTTGATCCAGCATGTGGTATGTTTTCTGTTACAAGGTGTACTTCGATCTTGTTTGGTCAACAGTAATTCCTTGGTGAAATTTTGGGAACCCATGATTTGGGTTCGGGTGTTGCTTGTGGACGCTATGCAGAGGACGATAGTTTGGTAATGGAGATTTTGGTTACTGTGTTGAGGAGATTGGTCGTTCATTTTAAAGCAGACGGATTTGAAATTTTATAGTTTTGTTCATTGCACTGAAATTTTGAGTCAAGGTGGAGATTGTTAGGTTTAATGCCTCAAAATTGGGTTGAAATCTTGGAAGATCATGTTTAACTTGAATTTGGAAATAAATCAAATTACATCCAAGATTTTTTCCTTTTACGCGGTTTAACCTAATTCAGTATATTTTCTTAGCTTTTAGGACTCCATTAGGTTTATGGACGTGGTCTATGAATTTGAGATTCATCTATCAGTTTTAGATGAAACATTATTGCTGTCTTGTATTATTTACTCTATATTGTCGGTTTAATAAATTTCATCGTTCCTCTACTTAGTTTCTCTTTTTCTATTTTACTTTAATCTTGTTTTCGTGGTGTGATCTTAAATATTTCATAATTATCATTAATTTCAATTTTGCATCGCCTTTGGAATCAACAGTTTGAAGATTCAAATATAAAAGAAGATCAAGCTTCAAGTTTTCCTCAAGTGTGTTTTAGCAGGAGATAAAACATCTTCAAGAAAGTTTAGAAACTTGGTATTAGTTTTTAAATTTCTCTTTAAACTTTCAATTTCAATTGTAATCTTGCAATTATCAATCTTGTGTCTTCAAATTTTTAATCCTCAAATACAGTCAACAATTTCTTCATTCTCTCTCTCTCTCTCTCTTTTCAATTATCTTTTCACTCCAAATATACATTTTGTAGGGACTAAAATACAAATAAGAATCGAAAATTTTGCCACTAATTACTAGTCTACAAACAAGTCAAATAATTTTGGTGGCAAAAGATGTATCTCCCGTCAAATTTTTTTGTTGAAATATATCATCGTACGAGAATCCTTAACCCCATAATTAGACTTGGTGGAACCTAAGTCGTGACTAATTTATTTGGACAAAAAAAGGTAGTTAATGGATTTCTTCATGCTCGTTCCAAGTTAAAAATACCATTTGGAGAAATAAAAATTATCCTAGTTACATGATCTCTTCTTCATAAAAATAGATAGAGAGAATCTATGAGACAATTACTTTGAAGTACAATCACCAATAACTTGAGTGCATCGAAAAAGCAAGACAGTTCATCCAGAAATTTATCACCTCACTAACTATGAAAAGTTTCATCTTTGCGCATAAAAGATCCGTCACTTACTCGAGGTACAACAAAAATATCTCATTTTAGTCAAATTCTAACTAAATTCCACTGCGATACTAAACCAGCTTTATCATACCAGTCTCAACTTCTGAAAGTCAAGTTCAATGACTAACTAGTACATATTTTCAGCAATTTCACACTCACCCTGTTGACCATCGAAATCCTCAGAGGCTTTCGATGTCTAAAAGTTGATAATACTACTATGAATATGGGTTCTTTAGGTATCGAGTAACATAAACTGGGATTATGTACATTCCACCTTATCAAACAAGCAAAAAAATAAGAAATAAATAAAATCCACCTCCATGGTTCTTGGAATTTCTATGCTGGCTATAAGTGCATGCACCACACCAAGACGATTGATTGTACAATTGTGTTCAACAATATGTTCAATCCAGTCCTATACTGTGTACTTAATTCCATATGACAAATTAAACTTTGTGGCATTTTGCAATTTCAGGTGGTAAAGAAACCCCGAATGGTCATGACATTTCGGTTGAAGCATCCACCCAAAAAAATAGGGCTCATGACAATTGCAAGGTCAAAAACTTGGGAAATTTAATGAAACAAGCAACTAATAGCAAGCCTATATATACTCCCTTTGTACAAGCAAATATAGTAACACTTCCAATATTTGGTCTAAATTTCTTGAAAGAGAAGAATGGCTCGTCTACTCGGAATTCTATCAGTCTTCGTACTGTTAGTGTTAAGGCCAGCCAGGGCTGCTACACCTTCGTGCCCGACTGTCACTGCAAAACTGGCCTCGTGCCTATCATACATAGACGACCAATCTACACAACCAGCAAGTTCTTGTTGTGCAGGACTGAACGGAATCCTTGCACAAGCAAAATCGAAACAAGATAAAATAGCCGTCTGCAACTGCATAAAATCGGCCTTAGCTAATCTGGGAAACAAGGTTGATACTGGTCGGGTTTCTGGTCTTCCTAAGAAATGTGGGATGTCTGTTGATCTGCCTCCAATTGATAAAAACTATGATTGTTCAAAGTAAGTTGACTTAATTCTCTCTTCGTTCCCCAACTCACTAAAATTCTGACTTCTGGTTTTTCTTGTGCAGGATTTCTTTCTTGGAGTTCTAAGTATCTCTCACGGGGGCTCGATTTATGTTATAATCCAAACAAAATTATGAGTAGAGAGATGTTTAACTTACCTTATGGTGAAATAATGACAGCTTATGTATGGATGATTAAATCATCTGCAAAGCCTGTAATGCACTGAAATGTTCTGCACCTCCAGTTTCTAGGAGATTTGTGTAAAAGTAACTCTAAAATAAAAGGTATGGCATAAAAAAGTTAACAGCCATTTCAGTGAATACTATCACTTGATTGATGAATTAGGACACGTTTTGAAAATCAAAACTTCTTGGGAATTTTGGGAATCGTTTGGAGATGGCAAGTAAGAATGACACGAACTATCTTCTGTTAAGCAACTTGGAAATGAAAAATAAACACGCGAGAGAATGGTTAGAATGAAAGTAAAATTTGTTCAATAATTTTTATTTATTTTTCATTCGAATTCGAATTCAACAAAATGGGAATATTATGCCAACATCTAGCATATCACAATTACTTATAAGGTTTAGCTTCATAAACCCAATGCATGCAATGAAAAACTAAGCATTATTCTTAATAAATTTAGATCAACTATGTGAATTCTTACATAGATGAACACCATTAATGTCCAAATCATTGTAGTACTAGAAACACAACAGAGCGTGATAACATCTTGCTCTTGGAGATTATCGTGTTTAGCATTCATAACATAAATTAGGATTACCAAAAAAATGAAAATAACATGACTTCTCGATTAATACAGAACCTATACGAGATGAAAGCTAATTTTGCCTGTATATAGGCTGAACATGCCCAATAGACATTTTTTATTTAAAAATTAGTCTTCATCGACTTCTCTCTTGACTAAATTGTTAGATTCATGGAGATGAAGATATCTCACCTTAAGCTAGGAGTTCTTTTCATCCAATGGTGGAGACGACGGCCCAGGAACAGAATCAACGAAGAACTCCTCCACTGAAATGAAGTCAGGCACAAGTGTGAAAAACAGTAGTAAATTTCCAGGCAAGTAAAAAATAAATAAATACAGAAGTGCCTTTTCAATCATGTGTAGAAATGAACTACTAAACAACCTAAATATTGCCAAAGTTTTATAAGAATAAAAAACTTGTTGACTCAAACGGGATACCAAGAATTTGGAGAGACAATTGAGGATGAACTATTTTTATATAATAAACCTCCTCCTCAGCAAGCTTAGTGGTCTTATATATACAACCAAAATGCCAGTGGTCGAAGAAAATCTCAAAATCAGATTTGGCAATTTATGAAGTGACGGTAATATCTCTGGCTATATTACATGCTTCTCTGAATTTTTGTTTATCGACTGTTTTTGGCTCTAATGATTGGCATACAGTATACTTATAGAATATATCATACGTTTTGTTGAAATTGAAGCCTTTATCAATTCAACACTCCTTTCGCCTCAAGGTTATAGTCTCTTCCAATCTTTTGGGTAATCCAAGAATTTGACTTCTTCAAATGTTAAAGTCGAGTACTTTAATATTTCATGGCCAACAAGGCTTTATGGAATTAATTAGCCTTCTAATTCAAACTCGCTAATGAAAAATGACCACTAAATTCTTTACAAAGTAGCATCTATGTCAAAGGAGGTTTGAGTCCTTAAGACTTGAATAGAAGAAATTACACTCTACTCAAAAAAGAGGCATCATATTAGCACTTTTATCTCCCTAAATTTTGTCAATTCAATAAATCATATTTAAGGAAAGGGCTGTTTCCCTTTATACCTATATCCTCTTTATCTGGAGAATCAAGAAGAATATCTGAATCCGAAGGGAAAAATGGGGAACCTGAACAATTTCCTAGAGCTCCTAGATCTGCAAATATGTTCAAAGCAACAGGCACCATCAGTTATTAAAAGGGTTCAAGGAAAAGAAAAAATAGCAGCATGAAGGAAAGAGAATTTTCTTGCTAATTGTTATATCAAAGTATATAACAACGATTGATTGTGGGAAGAATTACCTCCCAAGTTTGATAGGTCTGCTGTTAGGTCCGAAAGGCTGAAATTCCAAGATATCTGAGCCCACGAACTGAGGGAATCTCTAGAATTCCCGTTACAATTATCTGCCGGAAGTTGTAGTCCTACTGAACTAGCTACATCAGATGTAAATGCCATATCAAGTGTTGATGTTTCTATTCCCATGCTTGATATCTCTGATGCATTAAAGGGGAAATGGCCACTCGAAGCCACTGATGTTGGGCTTACTGGCATATCTGACATGGATAGCATTGCATTGTTTGGTGGCATTGCGGGTGCATCAGTTCCGTTGGTGTCAATCGCCATACTTCAGATGATAAAAAAGAACTATGATTGTCAGCAGAAAATCCAGAACTATAATTTACAGTAGTTTCACCATAGAAATTTCATATATCTCTGGAAATTTATGACTAACTCGATTTTATTTAGTAATTTTTTCTGTTACAATGAACTTCAACAGAAAAAGAAAATGTACTGATCCGTCTGACAATGAACTACTAATAAAAAAGACTCAGGCTTCAAAAGCACGTTAATAAACTTTAGAGAGATTGATAATATATTTTTGACACTGTTCTGGGCAAGGATATCTGATATCACTTTGGCAACATATCAAAGACCTGGTTAATAGAAGGAGAAAAAACTTAGCACCTCAATTACTGATGAGGCGAAGAAATATGTTCCAGATGTTGAATGGAAAAGATACTTTGGCAGCATATTTGCAAACTAATTGGCATAAAGGATGACAATTCAGAAAGAGATGTAGCTTACAATTTTTTCCTTGACGAGTGGTACAATCATGATAGTTCTCGTGAAGGTTAGGTATAACAAGATAAAAAGACATGAAGTGACATGACTCAATAAGAATATTAATAAAAGAGATTTAGAGAACTAGATGAAGGAAGAGACATCCATGATATTTCAAATTCTTTTCAAATGTCAGACACGAGGGAAAAATCACAGAGAGCTGATGCTACCAGAGGAGAGTTCTCACTCATTTCCAGAATTCATCAGCATTGGATGGAAATTGCCTGTGCCTGGCGTGGGAACTCCATTTACTATGTGACAGCCATTTGTGGAATAACCCATAGAATCAAGAAAAGGTTGCCCTGTAGCTGGCACTGGAGACTGGTGCACAACAGGATATCCCATTGGTAAGTTGTTGACTGCACTGCAAACAAGCAGCATTGAATAATGATGATAAAGTAACACAGAAATTGCAATTTAATATACAAATAAATAGCTTTAGTTCAACCCATTCGGTGGCCAACTTGTCTACATCCTACTCAAAGAGAACGGATAATTGCCAAAATCACAAAGGTTGGTTCCAATAGAAGAAGGCCAGCCATGAACACAATGGTCTCGACAGCAAAATCTTCCTCCCATGACAAATTACTGATCATGTAAAGGACCTTAAGTTGAACAATAATAGCAACAAGCTTATTAAAAAATTCAAATAAAGATTTAAAATAATTACCATGAATCTTTTTTTGTCTAACCATGGGAAGACCTATTGTCTTGCCATTTAAGTAGGGTGATCAGCTTTCTGGTGATTAAATGATTACAATGTTTTCTGAGAAAGAAAAAACTTATAGAAAATGTTTTTCTACCAAATCCTTAATGACTTGGCCGTACAAGAACAGCATAATATAGAAGCGAAAATTTTTCAATTCTAGTAGAAAATTCTCTATCTTTTGAGATTATCGTGGCATCAGGAATGAGACTTTCGTCATACTGTTAGCAGACTACAAATATAATAATAATTTTTTAAGGGGGAAAGAGTATGAAAGGGAACAAATTAAGACAGAGAAGTGCATCCGTTGAACCTAAGTTAACAATGAAGAATTAAAAGATGACTTTTATTTTGCCCCAGTAGGTGTTTTAACTCTCTCTCTCTCTCTCAAAAAAAAAGAAAAAAAATTAAAATTAAAAAAAAAAGAAAAAAAAAGGGAGATTCACCTGGCACTGGATGAATTCCATTCTGCATAGGAGCCAAAGGAACCTTCATAGGTACGGGATACTTCATTAGCCGATACTGATGCTCAAGCAAGTAATTGAATAAGATAATTTGTTTCTTCAATTTAAGCCTTGTGTAGTAGCCCCGGAAAAAGTCAGGATTTTCCTCTTCTAATTTCTGCCACACTGTATCAAGAAAGAAAAATGGAAGAATAATGACTATAGAAGCTTCAGCATTGTAATTACATCAAACTTTGATCCTTATATCAGCATATATCAAACGAGCAACTAAATGAGATGCCAATGCATAGAAAGTTTCTTATGATAACCTGAGGAATACCTACCCAATGTTGTGAACCCGGGATCTATCCTGGCCCGACTCAGTAGGTTCTTTACCACCTCATCTCTATTCATGTATAACTGTAGGCACCGTTCGATCAAATTCTGGACCTATAGCAGGTTATGATTACATTTTGATAAGAGTATTGCAGCCAAAAATTCTTCATGGAATTCCAAAAATAAGAAAAAATTAAAAGAGATTGCCTTACAAGTTCAATATCCTCTCGTGATACTTTTCTGTTATCCACGCTTGATGCTGAAACTGAACCTGAATCTGGCACCAGAGACTCTTCAGCATTCTTTGGTTGTTCATTTTGGGTCTCATGTGAAACCTGATTAGCAGTATTAATTTCAGATGGATTGTGCAGATCCTGAAAAAGTTCTTCATTTAGTCGCAAGCTGATTAAGACAGTGATGCTTCAAAGAAAATGTGGAGCAGAACAAAGAGTGATTATAAACAGAAAATGTCTTTTATACAGAACAAAAGGCACTTTGCAATTGTAGTAGATCAACCTGTGTATTCTTCATTTTAGTTAAAGAAAAACTGGCTGTAGACATCCATCAGGTTCTTATATCTTAATATCCTCTGGTTTAAAACTGCCTCAGCTTAAAAAATCTGCGAATAAACCGAAATACTTCTCCACCTGGAAAGTAGGATTTTCTGTTATATGCTCATCACCATCCAGATCCAAATGCCAAACAAGGACTAAGATGAAACAACCCAAAACTACCAGTCTTGATGGAATTTAAGCGATCAAGAAACCAGATGAGTTCTTCCTATCTGCAACGTAAAAATCCAATTAATGCTTATTTGGTAAGTGGGGGTTGGACAGTACTAGAAAGTATGACAAAGGAAAAGGAAAAAAAACTATGTCACTTATTTTAATGTCAAGCAGTGCCAAACAAGATATCTCAACTGACTAATGCCACGAGTTTGTGTGTTGTCAATCATTCACAATTGCTAAATGTTAATATAGTCTGTTTGAACTTAAAATTTTCATGGCATTGCAGTAACCATCTCAAGCTACAATAATTTATTGCCTGGAAAGATGAAGGCTTCATGTCACTTATAAAGTGAATTCAATTAAGAAGTAACCAACGTCACCTCCTGCATTTTATTTATGGTAAGCAAGCTCAAGGCTTCAAGCCCTTTCATTTAGTATGAGATCACACTTCACTGTCCCTTGGTTACATTGTGCAGTGGATTAAATCCTAATCTCTACTTTCAAGAGCAATAATAACCATAAAGCAATTAGAAAACGAGTATGGCACACAAATTAACAGTGGTTCACTATATCCACTTGTTGCATGTTTCCACTAAGAAGAAAAAAGAGGGTTTCAGTGGTAATATCGTGCCTAAATCTGTGTCTCAAATTACACCTCTGGTCTCTCAGAATAAATCAATGAACATGGTGATCATTAGTATCTGTTTTCTCTCACATGATGATACTTCCTATGTTTTCTTCACATAAACCATTCCAAATGTGGGAGAAATTTATATTCACCTAAATGTTCAATTAACTATGCAATCGTGAGAAAATGAGTATAAGAAGTGAGCTGAGATTATAATAGGCATAAAATTATTGATGTGGGGAAAATGTTCTGATAAATCCCAATTCTCAGACAATACGGACAAACATTTCTTTAGTTGTCTATGCATCCACGAGCCCAATTTTTTCCTGTTTATTTCCTCCAGTGCTGGTGAATCAAAGTGCTATAATAAACAACAACAAATCATTAAAAGCAACCTCAAGAGTGATAGGAACAAGAATAACAATTTCTTGCTGCGTTACTTCCTTATCGTCAATCAATCAAATGGCTTAACTATAAAAGGTGTCTAAAATTTTAATTCATTTAAAGGAATAACTAAGAACAGGAACAAGTACGATGATAGGAAACAAAATGCATAGCTCCACCAACACTTCTATTTAAAAATATCCTCCATAACAAATCAAGCAAGAAAATTAATTATTTTCCACACATCCAAGAAGATAGAAAAACTCCAAATAATATGAAGCTGAAAAACCGCAAGCTTATGATTTATATACATTTTAGAACTGAATAGCGAATACATAAAAAATTAATCTTTTTTAGATTTTTACTCATTCTTGAAACTTCACATTTTAACTTAATGATAACATCAAATCTACAAAATTTGAAATCTATGTAACATTATTCATGATAAGATCTGAAAATTCAAGATAATTTACAATGAAAAATTATAAAACTAGCATAATTTAGACCCACTTTCGAATATAGAAAAAGATTTAAAAGGGTACCTTTTCTGACAGCTTTCAACCTAAAATGGTGAAAAAGTTCCAAAGTTTTATGTAGAATCCATAAATTATAAATTCCCAGACAAGGAAAATTACATATTCAAGGGGAAAAAAAACTTCAGCAAAATTCACTAAAATAGTTAGTGAATAGAAAGCTAAAAAAAAAGAAAGATTGAACCCTGATGAGGAAAGTGAGAAATGGAAGTTCAAGAACTCTTATTTCTTGAACAACAAAGGGCAAGCACTCTACACGTAGCTGTAAACGTTTCATTCAAAGAACAAGGAAGTTTTGAAATATTAAAGGATAATGAAAATAATGTGCATGCGTGAATCTTGTGAGGGATTTTACTGTGGTTTAGTTGAAGTCGTCACACTCAGAAGGTGTGTAAGTTAGTACGTTTAGTTGGTGATAAGTGGCCTGTAGGGTAAAAGACCACTAATAGAGAGTGAGTGCAGAAAAGATAGTTGGGAAAAATCTACAAAAAGGCCCAAGCAGATTTACTGTTTTTCTTTTGTCGCGTTGATGAAGATTGGGGTGGAATTTGGGAGTTAGCAGGTTATCCCTCAGAGGAAAATTACGTTCCTTTAGAACCCTTCGTGGGCGAGAAGCATGGTTTGTAGCTGCCTGCCTAATGGTTTGAGCTACATGTCTCATTCTACTTTTATAGTTTTATTGGATCTATTTTCGGTAGATAGGAAATATTTCGTCTATCTAGTTATTTCATTTTCGTTAAGATGTGAAAGTGCATTTTTTTTTCTTTATAAATACAACGTGTTTGGTTGGTAATGGATGTCATAATTAAAATTTAAATAAGAAAAACTTTTTATTTTTCATTTTTCGTTGAAAAATGAATGAGAACAAGTGGTGCTAATCTTATTATCTTCCGTTTATTTTAGATTAAGTTTGTCGAATTTGATACTATATTGAGTCATTAAATTTCATATCAGAAGGTAAATCCGTTAAGATAAGTAACACAAATCCCCTACGTGATGGATATTATTTTTATCTTCGGATTTTACCTTTAACAAAAATTTATATTTCTAAATAGGTGAGTTTTTTTTTTTTTTCTTTTTTGGTAAAATAAACAAGTAAACAAAAATATATTTTAAAAACTATGTATAAATTTTACTTAGCCTGTCGAATAACATGAGAAAGACTTTTAGAAGAATGCATCATTTCGAAATGTGCGAAGCTTTCGGTGAAGGAAAACGGTAGAAACAAAAGGGTGGTTTTGTTACAACTTTGTGGCCCCTTTTTCAATTTTGAACAAAAGGAGGAGAAAATTTGTAACACAAGAGAATATTAGTTGTAGGTCATATAAATTGATGTTTGGAAAGTCGACATCAAAATTAGGGATTGAGGGAGATACGAATCTTGACATACTTATAAACCATGAATGTAGGTGTTTAAGCCCCCGTTTCGATTTACGTATAATATTATTTTATGAAAGATTGTGTGGTTGAAAATAGGAGAGAGAAAAACGTAATGTAATGTAATAAAAATTAATGGGGGCCAAATGAGGACTAAGTCTGCATTGGATCGTTTTGACCTAAGTATTTAGGTTTAGTGTATTTACAATAGTTTGTTCATATCTTAATTTTAAACGATCAATAAAGAAAATTGATGAAAAAAGCCAAATGACTTATCACATTTTACCATCACTTATTTTTTATTATTTTCAAAAATTAACAAGGAAAAAATAGTTTGATCCGTTGGCCTACCAGACCCAACTTGACGTGCTTAATATAAGGAATATGCCCGTTTTGAACTTGTCTGACCTAATAAAAGATAGAAGTTGTGCAGACAAGATGTCACAACCCATTTTACATCCTTGATTGAGAGTTTTCTTGAGTAAGCAAATTGATAAGAGAGAATGGGAATGCTTTTTAGCTTTATTCTTGCACTATTTCATGAGGGGTCTGGGAAAATGACACAAATGAAGCCTTAATATGCAATCTCCAATTGTTCATTGTTGTTTCACCAAAATAATACAGCCCTTTTACAATGTTCCATATAATTATGTTCATTAGTTGGGGAATTCACAATCAATGTGGTCCCACCTCTTAGATCTACTTCCCATTCTAATTGATCTTTTGATTAAGACATCATTTTGATGGTTCACCAAGATTAATCATGGTCTAGTGTATATTGACAATGTATTCGATAACTAAATTCGATAAGATTAAACATAATTAAGAAAGAAGAATACGTGATAGAATTTGATAGCACAATTTGATTCAACCGTTAAACATGTAATAAGGGTTAAATGAAAACAAAAATGTAAAACGTGCTCTTATATTCTTTTTTCTTGAGAACAAAATATATTTTATGATAGTATAATATATCAAATCAAGACTCTTGTCTGTCCTTAAACGACTTTACTTGTATGTCGTGACTTTTATTTCCAATTCTAGAGACGATTTTCACTTGAGCAACTTTAGATTTCTATAGTACTTTCTTCAGAAAATTAACCTAGGTTTAAACTCGTACAAGTTTTCCTTTAGTCGCCATATAGTATAATTCAAGTCTTGCCCTCAATAATTAGAGATAGATGGACATTATATCAATTTTAATTGTTCTATATATGAGAGAACAATCATGCTACTTGTACAATGTATTTTACAATTTAATTTACAATGTATGAGTTGGCAAACGTCACATCCATCTATTTGAAAAACTATTTTTAAAATCAATGGTTAAGATTTTTCTAACACATTTGTTGTCAATCAAGTTGTGCAAATATATTGTACAAGTAACTTTATTCATGAGAGAAACTTGTTTTCCATTAATTTGAAAATATAATTAACGATCCCCCGCCCCCCCACCTCCCCCCTTTTGAGCGTGCTTCACACGCTCCAACAATAGCCAGCAAGCTCCATGTGCAAGAGACATGATTGTGGCACTACAAGCCAATGCTACAAAAACCTTTGTCAATAGAGAAGTGCCATGTGTACCTTGGGGTTATGCACTCAGGCGATAGGGGTGGCCCACAATATTTTTATTCGACGTGAGCTCCTATTGAAAGGGGGCTATACATCAGGGCGTACAACTTTGGCGTACAAATAACAAAATTCTTGTCAATAAAAGGAACCATATGTTACTAAACCCCTATTTGGGAATCAAAATCAAAGTTTACAATTAATTTCAACCATATATTTATGTGACTCACAATTTTTCAACGTCACATTTCATCAACTTTTATTAAAATTTACTAAAACAATTAATTTAATCTCCTCCAAAAAAGAGACAAATAGTAAATAATTCCATTTTCTAAATCAAATCAATGATGTTGCCATATCTAAATACATACAATTATATTACACACTCATATGCCCCAGGGTGGCGATGAGCACGTTCAAGAGAGCTCAACTCGTAAACGACTAGCTCGATTTCAAACCAACGAGCTAGGCTCGTGGGCTCCACAATTTTTTATCCTTAATTTATAATGAAATGTACGCATTCATGTACATTTATAACTCTGCATTCAAAGTAGTCAGCCCAACCACCTAAACTTGGAAAAAGAAAAGGTTGTTTATCTTGTATTAAATGTTATTATAGCCCAGTTTGGGAGGAATTTTGAGAATTGATTTTTTGATCAATACAAGAAAAGTTGGATCCACTCGTGAGAGAATAAATCAAAAATTACGGCTGAAATTGTGAAATAACGATCAAAAAATCAATTTTTTTTTTTGGGTAAAAAATCCCTCACAAACAAGTTGTATACAAATTTCTGTAAATTTTGTTTTTTAAAAGAAAAATTAAGTGTCTCATAAACCATGCCCATGCGTTGCCGAGGGTGGAAAGATCCTTGGAGGTTTGAAGGCTAACAAATAAAAAATTATATTAATAATGATATATAACACCAATTTATGTGACAACAAGTTCAACGATTTACAACTAATGACCAATTATATATATATATTTTTTTTATTTTAAACAATTCTAGACATCAATTATTAATGTATCAAAGATATTCTTAAAAATAGTTTTAGTGTGTGTTTGAACCACATTATTTTGAAAGAATGTATTTTGAAATAGGAGATTGATGGATAATCCGTGGTTAAAAAAAGAAGAAAAGTTTTGAATTTGCGTATAATATTATTTTGTACTTGTTTGGTAGGGATTTTGATAATTGATTTTTTGACAGTTGGAGATAAAGTAGATCCTACCTGTAAGAGAAGAATTCAAAAATGACGACTAAAATAGTAAAATAATGATCAAAAAATTGATTTTGATTGCCTTAAAAGCTGTACCAAATAAGCTCTTTATTGAAGAATATGTGGTTAAAATAATATCAAATCACTATTTAAAAATATATTTTTTGAAAAAAATGCTGCTCAAACATGACCTTGTATGGTAAAAAAAAAAAATCCTTCAGAAAAACATCAAAAGGAAAAAATTGATATAAAAAATGAGTTGATCAGTTGTGATTGAACTATTTTCTAGTGCACACCAACCAATGAAATCTGACTTTCATTATTTATCCACGGGAAATGATATTTGTACACTCCACTCACAAGAAAGAGGCTCACGTTCAATAAAAAAAAGTTTGGACCTCTTTTCGGAGGAGTGTATACCGAAGTGTACGTATAACAAAACCCTTTATCCTGTCATCCTTGTCGGATTGACTATCATAGTTGGCATTCTCTTCCAGGTGTCGTCTGCATACTCGACCACGTTTCTCATTAGGAGTGAAATTACGTGACTCATTTCAAACCAATAATCATTGAGACGTTGGACCGTCATATGTCCTTGTTGGGCCTTGGGTCCAAATGTTAAATTAGTCCAATCTTTGTGTTGTCCGTGGTCCACCTCTAGAATAAAATAAATAATTAAAAACTAATATTAATAATTCTCACAGTTGTAAACGATCGTGACAATACTCTTTTTGGTTTTTTGACATTTTGCCCGATGTTGATGAAATGGTAT